CCGGGCGAGGGCGAGGGCGAGGGCGACGGCGGCGGCGCCGGTGGAGGCCAGGAGGAAAAGGAGGAGGAGGAGAAGGAGGAAGAGGAGCAGGAGGAGGAGGAGGAGCAGGAGGAGGAGGAAAGCCATTCGGCCGAGGAGGGGCCGGGACCGTCGCGGCTTCGCCATCGTCGGTCGCCCCTTCGGTCGTGGCTCGCGCGCCGCGGAGCCATCAAAGAAAAGTAAAGAGGCGCCGCAGCCGCGGCGGTCATCTGACCGCCACGCCCAGGACCAAGGAGGAGGCCTGGAACCGCCGCGCCAGGACTCAAAGAGGACAAGACAGACTGCTCATCAGGCTGGCAGCGGCAGCCAGCAGGCTCGAGCAGCACCACAGCTCGCAGCAGCCCAAGCGCCACCAGCAGCACACCATGACGCAGAGCTGGAAGCAGCAGCAGCGCGGCGCCTCGAGGGAAAGGTGGTCAGGAGCAGGGACCACATACCTCGAGGCGCCGCAGCGCGGCGCAGGGAAAAGGTGGACAGGAGCAGGGTCCACAGCCCGTGCGCCCGCGCGGGGCCCAGGGGAAAGTTGGTCAGGAGCAGGGGCCACAAACCCTGGGCCCTCAGTGGGAGAGCAGCCATGGCCGTGGAGAAGCTCCAAGTATCCCAGCAGGCGGTCATGGAGCCGCCCCGCCTCGAGGTCAAAGGCAGCTGTCCACATCCAGGAATACCATCTCAGCAAGAAGCAGCAGGCCATCGCTGACTCAGTGATGGAGCTTCCCTTCACCATGTCTCGCGACCACGAGTCCTTCGGCCTCCCTCCAGATGACCCGGACATGAGGCAGCTTTGGACGAGAAACCTCCAGCAGCGGCTTGGCCGAGTTGCAGATCAGATCAGCGGAGCTCAGTCCGCCAAGGTCGATGCCAGCAAGCTGCTCACAGAGGCCTCCGTAATCAAACGCATGCTCGCCATGGCCACAGATCCACGAGTACGGCTACAACGATATCGGTCTCAGATTGAGGTGCTGGCCAAGGAGCAGAAATACATCCACGAGAAGAAAGAAGCCCTGCAGACAAAGGCGGACGCCAACACCCAGCGCATCTCCGACCTGCGCCGCCTCATCATAGACGTCGAGCTGGAGATCGCAGCCGGGGCCGACACCGATTGCGAGGCTGATTCCGAGGGCGATTTGAAGAAGCAAAGAAACAAAAGGGCCAGCACCCCATTTCGCAGTCGTGCCAGCAGAGAGCCCCCATCCTCATGCTCGAGCAGGCCGGCCTCCCCATCAAGCACCATTGCAGAACAGCTCAGGAGGAAAGACGAGGAAGCACGCCGAGAAGGAAAGAACCTAGCCAGCATCTCCAACGCCGAGCTCCGAAATAAGTCTGAAGAATATGAGGAGGTGGAGGCCGCGCGGCAGTGCTTTGCCGAAATGAAGATGCAGAACAGAGACAAGCTCGTGCATCACAAGCAGGAGCTACCCAAGACGGCCATGAACGCCACCGAACAATCACTCCGCAGACAAGAAGCTCAGCAAGAACGAGCAGCCCAACATCGAGAAGATATGTTCCATAAGTTCTACGCGGAGACGATGCAGCAGGGCGCGCAGAGGACCGAGAACCACGAGCGCGCGCTGAGACACGACCTCGAACGTCAGAAGCTTACCCACGAGCAGCAGCGCCAGGAGGCTTACCACATGCTGGACGCCTTACGAGCTGAGAACGCCTCCAAGGCGCGCAATGCACCAACCTCTGAGGTCGCAACCTGCCAGCAGGAGATGAGCGAACAACTTCATCGCGAGTACGAGCGTCTTCAGCGTGAGGGCCAGAGGATCGAGCAGATGAACCAGGACCTCCGTCTCGAGGGGCAGGCCGTGCAAGTCATGGCAGCCCAGGAGATGCAAAGAAAGAACGACATAGCCGAGCAGATCGCTGGAGCCTTTGCAGACCTCAAGCGAGAGGAGATCAAACAGGAGCACGTGATCCAGCAGCAGACCGCCATTGCAGCCAACAAGCTCCTGGAGGAACATTACACAGTCCAGAGGGGGCGAGAAGTGGTCTACCAGCAAGCGGAGCTCCAACTGGAGGCGCAGCGACACATCCAGAACAAATGCGACAAGCTCGAAGCCAAAGAGGAGGAGCACCTACGCGCCACCCAACAGCGCCAGCTCTTCTTCAACGAGGCCCAGGCTCTCCAGCAGCAGATGCACCACAGGACTAGCTCCGACCAGCATCAACGCGAGCAGTTCCTGGAGAGGCACGGCCAATACGAGGCAGAGATGCACCAGCAGCAGCAGCTCGCCAACTCCGAGCTACAAGCAGCGCAAGCACAAAGACAATCACAGGAAAAACAGCATCGTGAACAGCTGGCCCGACAACTGGAAGAGCATCGAGTACACCAAGCACTTCTCGAGAAGACCCTGCGGGAGCAGCTCGACAGCATCGCACCCAGGATCGACACTGACATGCTCGATGGCGTCGCCAGCGCGCTCACCAAGGAAAACGAGGAACAGAAGATGCAAGCCCAAGCCGACGACGAGGAGGCCTACCACGGGAACAACATACGCTCCGCCCTCCACGCCATCGCTCCGTCGCACGAGTTCGACTACGATGTGACTCGCGAATCGCACTACGCCGAGCTAATCCAGATGGAGACCCCGAACGCTGCAGGGCATCGAGGCGCTCCCTCATCTTCAGGATCTTCGAATGGCTCAACGCGGCCCTTCTACCGCAGTCTCAACAAGTCGCGCGGCAACTGCACCAGCGCCAAGACGGATATCACCAGGCGCAGGCGCTGTGGGAGCGAGCACATCGAGGACCGCTCCTCCGACATCGGCGACAACTGCACGCGCTCAGTGTCTGCAAAGCCCCACCAGGCCACCCACCTGCACCACAACCGGCAGACACGCGCACCAGCGCACCGCCCATCACCACCCACACCACAAGGGACGTCTCCGCAACCACTCGGCCCCCTCGTCGACCTCGCATCCCCGGCGGGAGTTGCTCCTACGCCAGCTGCGGGATACGGAACGCCCCAGGAGAACCCTAAGGCTCACGAAGGGTTCTTGGCCGAGAATTCCACGCCACATCCCACGCGACACGCCGAGAACCAGAGCTTCGACGATCCCAACGACCACGACCTGGGCGACTCAACACACACTCCGACAGTCCGAGCATCGCCGGCCCCCCCTGACGAGCAACCGACACCAATCGCCCCCTGGGGTGCAGGCCCCTTCCTGCCCCCCCCCGGCACCCATGGCTGCCCCCCTACAGAGGGCTCATTCCCTGCCCCTCCCCGACGACCCCACTTCCCCACGACGTGTCCGACCGTCCCAAGCACAGACCACCCTACTGGGGAACCCTGACTCCCCCCACGCTCCCCCATCACGCTCGAAGTCGGCCCCCCCGTCGCACCCACCCAACCATGCTCCCCGAAGCCACTTCCAGCGCGGTTCCACATCGCAACTCCTGACCGTGCCAGATCCGCACCACCATCGGCACTCCGAAGGGCAAGCACTCACAGCAGGCCCGCGCGCAAGGTGCGGATCCTGGCAACGGCGATGGATTCGACAACCCTATGGACCGCAGGCGCTTTAACCCCGAGAGTCAAGAGGGCAGCTCGGGTTCAAGCTCGGACACGACAAAAAAAACTGAGCAGGACTCCCCCCGCTGGGGGGCAACTGGCCCAGCGGGGGGGTCCCACCACAACCCTGCCAGAAGACCGAGCACCTAGCCCGCTCAGAGTGGCTATACGTAACTACCAGCTCGACGGAGCAACCACTGTGCCTCAGCAGATGTGCTGTGCGACCCATGCGGTGCCAGTCACTCCGCGACAGGCCCAGACGCTTTCACAGCCACAGGCCCCGCTCGGGAGGCCGCCGACCGCCGCAGCGGCGTTAGCTTGTGGGTAAGCACACCGCCTGACGCCAACGGCCGCGCAACCTAGCACTCCACAACCAGCGACTGCGACACAAAAAAAATCAAAAACCAATAAAAATATTAGCTTCAACGCCATTTGCGAGTGGGTAATCTACTCGGCCGCCGCGCCTTGGGACCAGCACAACGACCATGGCAGCGCGCAGGCACTAGCAACCACGACTGCACCAACCGTCGGACCGAGGACCATCCCCTCGGCCGACAACCGCAGTGCACCAACCACCCCACCCAGGCGGCCAGCGAGGCCAGACGGGGCTAGCCCCCATCGACCCGACCGACCCGCTCCCAAGAGACGCACTCAGCAGGAGGCAAATCAGGCGACCAGCCTTTGGCCCAAAGGCGCCGCATCAATTTTCTCACGAAGAGCCTAACGAAGAGCCCCACCAAGAGGCCAACCGACGCCAGCAGCAGCAAGGACTGCGGCTGCCGCAGCAGCAAAGACTGCAACAACCCGAGGAGCAGCACCAAGACTCTCCCCACAGGCCACCACCCGCTGGACCTCGGAGACTCCCCGAGGCCGGTCTTTCTGAATCGCCAGACTCTTCCCATACAGAGCACTATAGCACGGTTCCATGGCCCACCTGAGGCCAACCCAGACTATGCTACGGGGCCAACTGCTGCGCCGCTGCCGGACGCCTTGGATGCGCAGCCAAGCGGCGCAGACGACCAGAGGAACCGACGCAGCACCAACCATCCCAAAGACAGCCAACAGCATAGAGCCACGAGAGATCTACGACATCGAAGCCACATACCTCGACGCCAGGCATACCGACAGGGGACGCGCCATGCAACCCTTCCGCCCTCGTGCCACTGCTACCCCCCTTCCCCCAACATCGACACGACTGTTCGACGCCCAAGCGCAGACACACGCTACTGACCAGCACCTACATCGAGCAAGAGGGAAGGTCACACAACCATTCAGAGCCACCAACATCAAGCCCCCAGCACCGCCATACCAGCCAACGACACCACCCGAAATGCCACCTCCGACGACAGAGCAGCGCAGTGTACAAGTCGACGGGCGTCCGACCATCCGACAAACGATCCAGCGATCACCCTCTCCCCGCGTCACATTTGTCCTTTGCGACGAGTCCCTCAACGAGACAGCTGACTACATGCTTCGCCACCACCCCCAACGACCACTTCAAGAAGGTGCGAGGACCCATCTCTACACGGACGGCTCCAAAAACCCGAAGAAGCCGAGCGACGACGCCTGGCCCGTGGTGATCGTAGGTGACGACAGCCTCGGCTTCAGCTTCCAAGGGGCCATCATAGGGAAGCACAAGAGCGGTGCCGACATCGCCCTCAAGGACAACGTCGAGCACGAGACCACCTCCACGACAGTCGAGATCACAGCCCTGATATGGGCCTTCGCCTGGGTGGTACACCACAACCCCCTCTACATCACCGCGATTTCCACGGACTCGCTCGGCGCGCTGCAGCTCGCGAAGAGGCTAGCCTTCACCGACCGCGACCCCAAGCTCGTCAGGACACTCTGCATCCTCTACGACATGGTCTGCAACAAGATCGACCTGCAGCACGTCCACGCCCGCGACTATAACCCATGGAACGAGGTTGCCGACGCCGCCGCCAACCACGGACGCCTGCAAGAAGTCACACCTCCTCAACCAGAGTGGGCAAGCGTCATGGACGGCGCATCCCAGCGGGACTGGGAGTTCCTCATTGATGCGGACCCCAACGCCAAGGAGGCCTACCGTGTCTTCGCCCTCGGCAATCTCACAGATCAAAGGGTCGAGACGACCGCCGAGGCCCGTCACTTCCACAACCCCTCCGAGCCCAACGACAAGAATATCATCGTAGAAATAAACATCGCCACCTTCAACATCCAGTCGGGGAGAGCGCCAAAGGAAGGATCGAAGCGTCGCAAATAGAAGGTCAACAAGCTAAAGACCACGATGAGGATCTCCACATCATAGGTATCCAGGAGGCAAGGACTCCCTGGGGCGTCCGCGACGCAGGTCAAGATGACGGCGCCAGGTGCGCCAACGCCAACTGCTACCACATCATTTCCAGCGGCCACACAGGGTTCAACTACGGCTGCGAGCCCCATGTCCTCCTCAGCAAACCCTACGGCAAGAACGACAAAAAGGAGCTCTTCTTCAAACCTGACCAGTTCACAGTCATTGTCAAGGACCCCAGGCTCCCCATCGTGCGCGTTGCCGCCCCAGGCTTCAAACGCGCGCCTGCCGTCGCTCGCGCCCCGCGCTCGAAAGCCCTCGCGACCGAGAAGGATAGCTACTGGAAGATGCTCGCGGGTACCACGGAAAAGCACCAAGTCAGCACCATTCTCTTCGATGCCAACGCCAGGACAGGAAGCAACGCCAGCACGGCCATCGGCGATAAGGGCTTCAAGCAAAACGAGGACCCAACCGGACACAGTCTACATGAGCTGCTCCTGACCAACCACCTGGCGGCCGCCAACACCTTCGTAAGTCATGGACCAGAGCATCATACCTGGCACTCGGGCAAGGACCCTCATCGCATCGACTACGTCATCATCCCGAAGGGCTACATAGACTCCATCGAGGAGTGCGCCGTGCTCTACGGCATAGACAGCGGCCAAGACCCAGAGACCAAGGACGACCACTACCCCGTCAAGATGCAGCTTGCCTGCCAGATCGTCTCGTCCGTCATCAAAGGTATCCCCAAGTTCGACGAGAGCAAGCTAGCCGACGAAGGGTGCCGCAAGAAGTTCTGCGAGAAACTTGACGAGGTCAAACGCCCGCCCTGGGACACCAATCTCAACGAGCACCTCGCCACAGTCACAGAGAAGATCACGGGGGCCGCTTACGAGTGCTTCCGCTCCAACAGCCGCACCCCGCACAAGCCCTACCTTACCAGGCAATCCTTTGCTCTTCTGCGAGTTCGCCGATCGGTACTCAAGACGACGCGGGCCGCCAAGAAGAACGGGATTGCCCACCACTTCGGTGACAAGAGACTACGCTACACTGCAAAGATCATCGCGAGGGCGACCCCCCCGCCCGACCCCTCAGATGCGAGTGCCCTGGCTGCTCTCAGCGACTATGTCAAACTCGTGGTGGCCTCCATCATATTCAGCACTCCCAGTCTAGCTTCCCACGTCGTGGAACCCGACAACGCCAACACTGCGCACAGCGCCCAGCACTGTTTCGACGCCCTTCTCCTATTCCTCAGGACGCCTAAGTCGATACTACAGAAGTGGATCACGACAGACCGCGACGACCTCCTCGAGAGATGCGCCGATGAGATGGGCGCAGCGATCGACGGCCACGCCCCCCGTCTAGAGGCCCTGTACGCCAAGCGACGACTGGCCCTTGGAGGACGACAGTCAAAGAAGCCGCCGACGCCCATCATCCGCACCAACGACGACGGGGAGCCCATCGCCAACAAGAGTGAGATCGCCGACCACGCACTAGCATTATATGGCAAAGTTGAGCAAGCTATTGCCACGAATGCAGATGGGGTAGCAGCCGACTACAACAGGAGGACCCGCCATGCAGGGCCAGAACCAAATATCCAAAACATAATACCCAAGCACCAGCTGACCAGCCAGCTCGCCGCCGCCAAGCGAGGCCGCCGAGGAGGCCCTCACCAGCTCACCGACGACATGTCCAGAGCCAGTCCTGAAGGGATGGATCGCCTGCTCCACCCCGCCCTAGTCAAGGCCCAATTCGAGAGCACCGAGCCCATCGCCGCCAAAGGAGGGTACTCTACCTATTTCCACAAAGGACAGGGCGCCATGGAGCTCCAGAAATCATACCGCGGCATCCTCCTCAACAACACCATCGGCAAGATGCACAGCACCTTCCTCCGATCCCGCGTTAAGGGCTTGCTACCTGCTACCTGAGCTACTTGAAGCAGCCCAATGCGGCGCCCGACCCAAGGTGGCCACGGATTTCATTACTCACACCAGTCTCGCCTTCATCTGCGACTGCCAGAGATCAAGATCATGCAGCATCACCTTCCTGAACCTCAGGGAGGCCTTCCACTCCGTCATCAGGGAATTATGCATGCCATTGCCGACCACCGCTGGCGAGCCCAACGAGCTCACCGAACGGGTCGACATTCCCGACTTCATCAGACCAGCCCTAAAGGAACGACTCCAGCAACCCGCATACAACAACCAGCACATCGACGACGAGCACCCATGCCACATGATCGCAGATCACCACACCTCCAACTGGATGACAGCCAAGAGCGCTAGGCATTACCAGCTGCCTCGGACCAGCACGCGACCTGGGGTGCCATACTCGGATGTCGCCTTCAACATACACTTCGCCATCATGCTGAGGGCAATTGACCAGGCAGTTCGAGAGGGAGGCCCACGGCCAGCAGACAGGTGGACACGAAATAAAGGCGTGCAGTGAGCCTCGTGTTCCACCAACCCCTCACGAAGGTAGCACGCTCACAAACATGTCCTTCGTCGACGACCTCACCGACTACAACTCGACCGCCATCGCCGGCGACCTGATCAACACGGCAGCCCTGGCAGCAGCCAGGCCCTGCACAGCAGCATTCGGGCATGGACTGAAGCCGCGCCCTGAAAAGACCAAGGCCATCCTCATGCACTACGGCGCGGGGGCCAAGAAGGAGAAACAGCGGATAGCCAAGGAGGGAATCACATACCTAGAGCTGGACGGACTCGTGGTCAAGGCGCAGCTGGTAACGCAACAGAAGGCCCTCGGGACCATCGTCTCGGCGGGCGGGGTCATGGGGCCAGAGATCTGCCTAAGGGCCAATCGTACAATTGGCGCAGCTCGGCCTCTAGAGAAGCAGATCCCCCGCCGCAAGAAGCTCTCGAAGAAAGCCAAGGTCAAGTACGTCCACTTTTTTTCGACATCCTCGCTTACCTACAACCACCATGTCTGGAACGACCTGACCCAGAAAGACGTGAAGCACATTTCCGCCAAATACATGGGCCCATACCGCGCGGCCGCTTCACTACCCAAGACCAACTCACCCGACCAGCGCATCTCCGAGGCCGAGGCGATCGCCAAGACAGGCTTACCCGACTTCACCACTCACCACTCGATTGCGAGGCTACGATACTTGCCCAGACTCTTGGGTCACGCTCCAGCAGTTCTACTTCATCCACTCGACGGCCAGCGCCAACGAAAAGGCAAATGGAGCCGCCAGCTCAAGAAAGACTTCGGCTTCCCACGCAAGTACTTACCAAAAGAAAAGTGGCCCAGCCAAACCCAGCACGACCGCGGCATCATCAACTGGGCCCGACAGAAGCCGAAGCTATTCACCTACGCGGTCAAGGCGGCTTTAAAGGCATACATCCCCCACACTCGCGACCAAGCTCAAGGCGCCAAGCTCCATCAGGACATCTTGATGACCCCGGCAGGTAACGCAACCGAAGTGATGGACCTCAGCGACGACGCGAACAACATGAAGTATGTCTGCTACGCCTGCGGCCGAGTTGCCTCCAGGCAAGGCATGCTAATCCATATGGGCAGGGACCATCCAGACCATGAAGACCCGCGCTTCTGGGCGACAGGGACAGCGTGCCGATGCTGCCAGACCGAGCACCACTCTCTTCCCAAGCTCATCAAGCACTTATCGGTGGCTCACCGCTGCCGCAAATCCTGGCACGCCTGGCGCGCCCAGACGATGGGGCCTCTGACGGAGCAGCAAATAGCAGACAACATTGCCGCCATCGCCGAGGCCACAAAGGCCAACCAGAAGCATGGAAGACACCCAACATTTAGCGACAAGCCAGCCTACCCGTACGACATCACGCCGCTGCCTCTCCTTGAGACGTCGCCCGCCCTACCCAAAACATTTGCAAGACTCGAGTCATCACCAAGCAGACCACCCGCGTGCTCGCCCGCAGAATCAGCCGAGCGCCAAGAAACCGTCTTCATCACGGACCGCCCTCGACAGGCCGCCGACCTCCAACAGATCATGGCCAGCTACGGGATCACGAGCATCAGCAGACTGGACTACACGCAGATCGCCATCCCCAGCGATGGCCACATCTCAGAACTCCCTACAATACTTCGGCGAGCACAACGCAGGATCCTACATGGCGAGGTTGCTGCCATCTACGTAGAGTTCCCACGACGTACCTGGTACTTGCACGATCCCACCGACGTTCTAGGCAGCAGAGCAAGCAAGCGGCGCACCCCAGAGGCACCCTGGGGCATGCCTCAAGTCTCCGGAACCATCGCCGATGAGCTATTCGCCGCCAACAAAGTCACACGAGAGGTCTTGCGTATAATCTTCACGGCAAACACTACCAGAGTACCATTCGTAGCAGCCATCTCTGCCGAGTCGATCACCAGACAGACTCCAGAATATCGGCACATCGCCAACCTGACAACCGTCTACGAGACCCTTACGAACAACTACGACCTCGGTACCATACAAATCCTCGACAACGGCACCCGCGACGACCTCCGCAACATAATGCACATGGCAAACGAAGAGGATATCGCTTTCACCATCGCCGACCTGCTCGACGGCAACATGGTGGCTATATGGGGCCTCAGAACGGCTACCGCTGCTCCTACCAGCCAGAACATGAACACCAACGACGCCTACTACATCGAACGAGAAGACGAATTGCCGCCTCATGCCGAAAACGAATGCCATGAACAATGTCACCGACGACAAGTTCAACGGCGTCAGGACGCAAGTCCTGAGGAAGCCCCGAGCGCGTGGGAAAACCTCAAGCAGCGTCGCCAAGTTTTGCAAGAGGCGTTAGGACGCAAGTCCTGGGGAAGCCCCGAATGCGAGGGAACACGCCAGGCACAAGTCGCCACGTTTTGTAGCATCTCAGCAGGCAGCGTCAGCCCGTGCAAGAGGTCAGCGGGTACTTGCGAGCCGCATCATGCACCCACTCCACTCTCGCCAAGTACCACCGACCAGATACACCTCACGACCAAAGGTACGACCTCCCACACCACGCCACAGGTCAACGCTGCCATGGCGAAGCAAGGATCAAACTTCGAGACGGACTCGAAGGGTGGGGGGGCAGGACGAGTACTGCCCGCGCCTACCAGGGGGGATGGTGAGGGGCATGGGGGGGGGGGGGTAGGACGGCCACTACCCGCGCCCCCGCGGTCCGCCGTAGCTCGCCACCCCCACCATCCCCATGGCGAAGGAGGAGCTCACCCGATCGCCGACACGGCGAAGCTGATGGCAACAGAGACATTCCCCACCGACGACAACAGCAAGCACCAGGCCTGGGGTTCGCCCCCACCGAGGGCACCGTGACCCCTAGCCATAGCGGGACGAGGTGGGGCCGCCACGAACCCCACTTGAAGTCGGTGCATGGAGGCCTCTTATGTGCGCCCATAACCCACACCACAACCCAAGCAACAATACGCTCTCCCCACGACCTGACCATAGACATTCAAGACGACCATCTACAACCTATGGGACTCGCCACCGATCGATCACCCACCCCGCAACCACCACCCATCCAACCACCATCACCATCTCGATTCTACCAGCCCACTGAAACGAGGAGAGGAGCAGGGTCCTCAGCAGTGCGGCGCGGCTCAACCATGACAGTGCCTGCTGAAAGGAGGACAGGAGCAGGGTCCTCAACAGTATGGCTTGATCAGTACTCAACGGAGACACTGAAAAGGAGGACAGGTGCAGGGTCCCCAAAACCAATCTCCAGATGGCACGCCCGCAGAAAGGAGGACAGGAGCAGGGTCGTCAGCTGCGAGGTACTACAAAGACAATCAACCCCAGAACCTCTACACCATCAACAACATTCACCACCTCGACCAGACCAGCCCGCTGAAAGGAGGACAGGAGCAGGGTCCTCAGCAGCGTGGCGTGATGAGCCCACCACATCTGAAGCTGTGCTCAGCACGCCCGACATCTCAGAGGAGCCCACGCAAAGCGAGGGAGGCGGCGCACCGTGCGCCGCGGCGAGGCCTTCCCCAGCCTTCGGGCCGAAGGGGGGAACGGCCCGCCCCCCGTGTAACATACGGTTGCCGCCAGCTCAGCCGAGCTCGAGGGCGGCTAGAGAAGGTCGGACGCCCCTCAGCTTGCGAGCAAAGGAGGGGCGTCCGTCGCAAAGGAATTCGTGGTGGACCAGTTCGACGCCCACATGAAGGCGCTGGACTGAAGGGCTGCGCCGCGGCGTCCGCCGCCGCGGCATAGAGCCCTCACTGAAAGGGTTCGCTGAAAGGAGGAGGAGGAGGAAGAGGAGAGGGAGGAGGAGGAGGAGGAGGAGGAGGAGGAGGAGGAGGAGTCCGTCGTCGCGACAACGACGTCGACGCCGCGTCGCGGCGACAGCGACAACGGCGCGGTCGGTCCTCGATCGCCACGGTGGAGGCCTTGGCGCCGACCGCCGTCTGCCTGCCGAGCTCCTGCGGATCACCGCCGCGGGGTGCATCGGCAGGCCAGGGGAACTCAACAACTCAACGTCCACCTTCGAGTATCGTTTCAGCGATCCCGGTCCCCACGGGCGTGGCCCGGGCCCCACTGGCCCAGTTGCCCCCCCAGATGGGGATCCGGGCTGCTCCCTTCGGGTCTCGAGAGGTGCATCTCCCCACCTGGGGTGGTGGGGTGGGGTGGTGGGGGTCGGGATGGCGATGGGGATAGGGATCGGTTCAACGATACAGAACCTGGGACTTCGATTTTCTCTCCAAGCGGCCAGGGCGGGACACTCTCGGATGGAAATCGAACGCGGCAGCTCCAGGAACAGCGACAACGTTCTCGTCGGCGACGAGGCGGAGGCGATCCGCTCCGCACCAGCGTCGGGCGAACCGGGGGCACCGATCGGCAAATGGTCCGGCGTGACAGAGACCGAACCGAACATTGAAAACACAGGACTCGGCGGAATAGCACTGATCATCCAGCGACGTGGTCGCAAGGAGTTCCAACGCGCCAGGCAGTTCCGTCAGAACCAAAACCAGAATCCGTAGGGCGGCCATGAACCTTGCTTCGTACCCACACGCACGCGGCGGAGGGGGAGTCAGTCAGCCAGTCAGATCCGTCAGACCCGGATAGCCCCGTCGCCCTGTCCACAGAACGCCCTCAAACCGCATCGTTGCATAGAATCGCCCTGTCGAAAGAGACTGGAATTCATGCACCCACGTGACCGGCCATCCGGTGCGCATGACACATGATTGCGCGTGGGATCCCTGCATGGACCCTTGGGAGTAACGCGTGGTCTGTTTCCCGCGGGAGGTTTTTAGCGGCGCCCACGGCGCCCCCGGGGGCGCACAACCAATGATGTTCCGCGCGCCCTTTCGAATGGGGGTCTGGTTCCGTCGGGGTCCGATCAACTTGAGAAAAACAATGCTGGCGCATGGACCCCTATTCCCCCGAAAGAACGACGCGACCTGGGAACGGAAAATAAAAACAACTGCAGTTGAAAGCAGCAACTCCAAAGGGGTAGGAACTGCGAATTCCGAGGACATCTGAACACGTGTTGGAATCTGGTTCGGACCAAAAGGGAGATACACTCGTCGAACCACTTCTATCTCACACGCGGGAGCCTAATCTCAAGCTAGAAAAGGGCCAGACGCAATCAGAGGAGAGGCGATTGTTACTCAAACGCCTGAGCTGCAGCTGGAGGGGTTTGCGTCTGGGTTGCTTGGCTTCCAGACGCGTGTTTGTCGGCATTACAGCTGTATGTGCATCCCAGATCCTCTTCTTCTCTCTTGCTGTGGTTGTCCGCATGCACTGAAGACGTATAACACAGACAGGAAGTAAGGACGCGAGACCCTAAGACGGGAGACGTTAGGACTTGTTTGGGCGGAGGGAAAACCCCAGGGGTACCCTGAGAGGCTGGCCAACGGGATGGGTAAAGGACGGGCCACAAAGACAAAAACACAAGAGTACCGCAAAGAAGGCGCACGCCTTTGCTTTGCTACGGTCGGGCGTGTCCCCCTACAGGCGGGATGTTGGACGAACGATGACAATTAGTCAAACATACTCGCAAGTAGTCAAACATAGTCAATAATCGCCTACGGATAATAGTCCCACCAGCCCCATGGGCGTCGGTGGTTTGGGGCGTTTCCTCTTCCACCCCTCCTTCTTCCCCTTCGGGGACGGGTTTACCCCTCCCCCTACCCCCTCCCCGTGGACCTGGACAAAGGGGTTTCGCGAGTCGTCGGAGCGTCCAAAACGGCCCCGGCGAGGAAGCCCGAATCGCTGGTTTTACTAAGGTTGTGGCCCCATGTTGTACCCCCCCCTCCTGTGATCGATCTCCTCCAAGATGGCCCCAAAAGGCGCCCAGGAGGCCCCAAGAGTGCCCCAAGATGGCCCCAAGAGGGCCCCATGATGGCCCCAAGAGGCCCCCAGGAGGCCCCCAAGAGGACCCCAAGCGGCCCCAAGAGGCCTCCCCGAGGCACCCACAACGCCCAAGAGTCCCTCAGGACGGTCCTCTACTCGCCTGGGCGTCGTTCCTGCATGGGCTGGTGGGGATACTTTTTGGTTTGCGGGCTCGCGAAGCAGGTCGAAAGCCGTCCGAACACTAGTCGGGCCGCGACGAGGGAGCAAGAGAAGGGAGGCAAGCGAAGCGAACGCGCGGGCAGCCACTCAGAAGAAGAGCCAAAAACGAAACTCCCAACCCGGTGGCGGCTGGTGGGGATACTTTTTGGGTCGGCGGCTCCCTGGCGAAGGTCAAGAAGCGGGTCAACAACGAACGGGGCGCGAACGAAGCTAATTGGCCGCAGTGGCATATGCACATGCGAGGGACAAAATGACCCAAATTAAACGCCAAAGGCCGGCGTAGACGTCCCGGCGGTGGGGACACCACAGGTGGGGGAGAGCGAAGGAGGCGGGGGGGGGGGAAGAAGAGAGCAAAGCAAGCGACATGTGGGCTTGTGGGGATATTTATATATATATATATATATATATATATATATATATAATACAAAAAAAACGAAGGCGGAAGCGCCGGCGGCGGCGGGTCACTGTCGGGCTGCGGCCGTGACGAATTCGCCGAGCGCGCGCGGGGGCCGCGGATCAGGCGGCGGTGCAAGCTGCAGCCCAGGGAGTCTGAAGGGAAACAGCCACCCAGGAAGCAGGGAGGACACTGGTGGGGGCGGGGATACGCGAAGCGTCTAGAATTTGACTATTTTTGAATATTCCTCCTGCAGAGGGACAGGCCCGACTGAATGCTGTGCAAAAGCGCCACATATCATTGCATCGACCTTGCAGACGTGCTGCAGTGGACTTTTGGAGTGGATTTCGGTCAACGCAACACCCCGAAACGGCGAGCGACGCGAACTCCACGTGAACTTCTTGTTTGGTCTTCCTTCCCGGCCAAAGCACTCCGCACGGAATGCACTCCGACATCCTGATCGCAATCCTCCAGGACACTCCAGGCCCAGCCTATTGTTCCCTGAACGAGATCCGCTCTGCGATGCTGGCGCCACGACGCATGCCAGGGCTGAACCTAAACGGTGTTTGTCGTCTTCGTTTTGTTTTCGTTTTCCCTCGTTTTGTCTTCAATCCGCCGTTGTCGCAAAACGAAATCGACACGAAAACGGCCCACGAAATGGCTAAAACACCGTTTAGGTCCAGCCCTGACACACGCCACCGCCGAAGGGGTCCGCGGGGGGGGGGGAGGGGGGCAGGTCCGGACTCCCACTGGGGCCTGCGCCCCCCCGGAATCGCTGCCGAGCCCAAGGGGTGGGGGGGGAGGGCGACGTACACGCGGCGTGCAGGCCGAAGAGGAGCTCTCCTCCCCTGCGGCGCCCCCCTCCCCCCCCCTGCCCCTCCTCCTCCTCCTCCTCCTCCTCCTCCTCCTCCTCCTCCTCCGCCCTTGCCGCAAAACGAAGACGAAACGAAAACGGCTCACGAAATCGCCAAAACACCGCTTAGGTCCAGCCCTGCCCTCCTGGGGCCGTTTCGAACGATGTCCTCCCGAGACGCCCTGACACATGCCACCGAAAGGGGTCCGCGGGGGGGGGGGGGGGGCAGGTCCGGACTCCCACTGGGGCCTGCGCCCCCCCGAATCGCTGCCGAGAGGCTTCCGGGGGGGGGGGAGGGCGACGTGCACGCGGCGTGCAGGCCGAAGAGGAGCTCTCCTCCCCCCGCGGCGCCCCCTCCTCCTCCTCCTCCTCCTCCTCCTCCTCCTCCTCCTCTTCCTCCTGTTTTCCTCCTCCTCCTCCTCCTCCTCCTCCTCCTCCTCCTCCTCCTCCTCCTCTGGCACCTGTGCCACTGGGACCCCTTCCCAGAAAAAGTGGCGGGTAGCAGCCCGATCGTCACCCTTGTTTGCCCGTAGGGGGCCAACGGGAGAGAAAATTGCTCCTCGTCGCCGCGGCCACCCACGGAATGGGTGGTGAGTAGGCTGGGCGCCGGAGCACGGCCTCCGGCGCCCCCTACCCCGAGCAGGGCACGCGGAGCACGGCCTCCTTGCGTGCCCTGTCTCGCGCGCCGTTCGCGGAGCACGTGCTCCTCCTGGTCCTGGCCACGGGGGCACGTGCCCCGTCGGGTGGCCCGCAGGACTTGCGCCTGTGGGCTTCAGACGGTCCCCTTGCGAGGGGGTCAAGCAGCTGTGGAGCGCTAACAAAAATCCTCCTCCTCCTCCTCCTCCTCCTCCTCCTCCTCCTCCTCCTCCTCCTCCTCCTCCTCCTCTTCGAGGCTGGATGTGCCCTTTCGAGAAGTTCCCAAGGCCTTCGTGGAGCATGCCCCCGCCCTTCTCTCCCCCCTCCTGCGTCTCGTGTGGCCCCCTCCTCGTGCCTCTCCCTCTCTCTCCCCGCTCCTGCTGCTCGTCTTGCCATGTTGTCCTCCTCCACCTCCTCCCCTCATGTTCAAGGGATCCCTTTGTGGTACTAACTCACATCGCTGCTCGCACGTGAGTAAATCGGTATCTCTTTATCTGGACCCTCCTCGCTCACCGTCCGCCTGCTGTCTCCTCCTGCTTCTCATGCTCCCTCCAACCCCTTCAACGCTCCTTCTGATGTTCCATACCTTTACCCATTGTCCACGCCATCACTCTGGTTCAAGATCCCTCCTCCTGCTTCCCCCCTCCTCCCCGTAATTGCACCGTCCTCCTCCTACTCATCCTTCCTCCTCCTCCTCTTCTTTTCTCGTCCCTCTGCTCCTCTCCCTTCCCTCTCAGCGAAGCCTCCGGATGCGCCCTGTGGCACCAAACGCGGGCCCCGAGGCCCAAGCAAGACGCGCTCAAAAAGCGGCGAGAGACCAAGACGGCGATGGCAAACTCGCGGGCGACGCACGACGGCGACGACGACGACGACGAAGCCGAAGACGACGACGACGACTTCGACGACGACGTCGACGACGACGAACCCGACGACGACGAAAACGACGATGGTGACCACTGGAGCGGCGGACGACGGAAGACGGCGGCCGCGAGTCCTGCAACGCGGGCCACGTCACCTGGGCGGTCGCGGGCCCGCAAAGGCAGCCCGGGCCACGGCCCCGCACGACCGACGAAGGAGGAGAGGCGCGAGGATCCTTCGACGCCTCCTCGTCCTCCTGCCCTCCTCCTCGTCCTCCTCCTCGTCCTCCTCCTCCTCCTCCTCCCTCCTCCTCCTCCTCCTCCTCATCCTCCCTCCTGATCCTCCTCCTCCTCCTCCTCCTCGGCCCTACTCCTTGCCTAGCCTGATGGCGTTCGTTACCCTGCGGACGCTCTCCAGTCGGCGCCCACCTCGGCCCTACTCCTCCTCGTCCTCCTCCTCCTCCTCCTCCTCCTCGGCCCCCCTTGACCACGGCCCTGGGCCGAGAATCGAGGGAGGCTTGCGATCGCGCAGGACGGAGGGTGGAGAACGAAGGACCGAGGAGGGTCGACATCACTCCTGCGGGGCCTCTGGAAGCAGAAGCACCTGAATCCACCACAGTGCCCTTGGGTTAGGTCGGGCGTGTCTCCCTGCAGGCGGATTCTGGACGAACAGTAAGGGAAATCAAACATGTCAAAGATAGTAAAAAGATGGTCAACAATTCGTCCCCTGACTATTTTTTACTGTTTTTGAATATTCCTCCTGTGGAGGGACAGGCCCGACTTAACCCTTGGGCACGGAGTGCGGGCCAAGAGGGCCCAAAGAGGCCCCCAAGACAGTTCAAGAGGCCTCGAATCGCCGAAATATCATTCCAAGAAGCCCAAGATGGCATCAAGATGGCCAAGAGATCTTCAAGTCGCCCCCGGAGGCCTCCCGAGAGGTCCCCAAGAGGCGAAATTCAGTGATGTCCCCCAGGTGTTTGGAGGATGTTGGCGTTCTGGCCTTATCTGTGCTTTCCGTCGCTCCAAGACGGCCCAAGAGGCCCCCAAGACCACCCCAAGACGGCTCAAGAGGCCTCCAAGAGGGCCCCAAGACGGCCTAAAAGCACCCCGAGACTCCACGACGACTTCGGCCCAAGAGGGCCCCACGAGGGGTCCATGAGAGGGAACACGAAACGAAGATCCGAGCTTTCCGCCCCAAGAGGTCCCAAGGAGGCCTCAAGAGGCGCCCAAGAGGCCCCAAGAGGCCCCCAAGAGGCCCCCCAAAATGCCCAAACTAGCTCCCAGGAGACCCCAACACGGTCCCCACGAGGCCGCAAAACTGCCTCCAAGAGTTCCCGAGAGGCCTCCCACGAGATCCCAGCGAACATCCAATAGTCGGCGGTGGACAAACCACCCTTCAACAAACCACCCTTTAATGAAAACGGCCCAAGACCGCCGGACATGGACCCGCAAAACGACTGCCGCGACGCCCTCTCGCGAAGCGAAAACGGCCAATTCGCAAATCGACGTGTCAAGGTAGGAGGTCTACCAACCTCCGAATGGATGAGTTCCCGCGTGGGCATCCGCGAGCAAACACGACGCGTGTCCGCGGCGTCGCGGCCCAGAGGCCCAGCCCGCGAGGCCGCGGATACGGGCGAATATTCCGCCCCCTCCGACGCCCCCTCCTCCCCTCCCTCCCTCCACCCTCGTTGCCCCCACCTCAGATGTGTTTCGAGCCTCTGGAGGCCCGAGCCCCCCTCTCCCCCATCGATAAAGGAGAAACTAGGCGCCCCGGAACGCGCACAGACACACACACACACACACACGCACACACACACGCACACACAAACACACCAACACACACCCGCACTCACACACACACACAAACACACGCACACCCGCACACCCGCACACACACACACACACACACACACGCACGCACGCACCAACACACACCTATATATATATATATATATATATATATATATATGTGTCTAGATATACATGTGTTGATTTCAAGGATCCCCCTTCTGATTCCATATGTTCTTAGTTTTCGTTTCCTTCCCTACTTCCCAGATTCCCCCTATTCACATATTATATATATATATATATATAGCTGGGAAGCGACGGTGATGTCTCTGTGCTTTTCCTTCTGAATTACGTTCTGAATCCACAGGTTTCGCCCGTCCGCGCGGATGCCTCGGGTGGCGCGGTGCCCCCCTTCCAGGCGCGCAGGGTACGCCAGGGGTGGCGTTGGAGACGCCGCCGGGGACTCCCAGCGCCGATCCAACTGACGAGTCCTCGCGGACCTTCGAGAGCCTGTGGTCATGCTGGTGCTGCTGCTCCTTCTTCCTTCTTCTCCTTCTGAGTATTATTATTCTGTTTGTATGCATGCTGGTTGTTGTTTCTACTATTATGTCTTTATGGGTATTCTGTTTTTTCGTGGATCTGCCCCACCCTCCTCCCCCCTCCCCCCTTTCTCCCTCCGATGTGTCCTGAGCCTCTGGAGGCCTGGGCATCTCCCTTCCCGGCCCCCCCCCCAGCAGAGCCCAGCATCGAATCGGTGAGTCGGATCGGCGATCGAAATAAATCGGATCGGCGGATATCGGCGAGCTAACGAGGCCTCCATCGGCGAGCGCACTTTTGCTGACGAGTGCATTGTCCTCGTCAGAAAAAGTGCGCGGCAGAGCGAGGCCGCCATCCCCAAGGCTCTGAACGCCTTGGTTGAATCATTCTCGGCACTGGACCTCGAGATCAACTGGTCCAAGGGGAAGACTGAAGCCTTGGTTCAATTTCGGGGGTCTGGGGCTCAGCAGGTTTTCGCGTCGCACTGTCACGACGGCCAGCTGTCTTTTGAAGTCCCCGGGAGCTCCTCCAGACTCCTCGTTGTCGACCATTACAAGCATCTTGGCACGAATTTGTCGCTGGATTCAGCTTGCATGGCAGATGCTAAGCATAAGGAGCAATCCACGTTGGCAGCCTACTCCCCTCTGGCGGTGAAGATTTTCGCTTCCCCGGTCATCCATGATTGGGTCAAGCTTCACCTCATGTCTTCGCTCTTGTGCACGCGGCTATTCTTCAACGCGCATATTGTAGTGCCCACTCGTCAGTACATTCGTAGGCTCAATGCAGTCATGATGAGGCCCATTCGCCGCATTGCTGGCGAGGTCCAGTTTGGCAAAGTTGACCACACTGATGCTCAACTACGCGCCAAAATGTATCTTCCGTCTGTGGATTGCCTGTTGCAGCGAGCCCGTTTGCTGTACTTGTATCGTGTTCTCGCGTCAGGCCCACAGGAATTGTTGGCGCTGCTGCACGCTCGCCCGAAGGGCGAGCCCATGCCGTGGACCAAATTGATCCTCTCTGACATGGCAGTGCTGCAAGACCGGGTAATTGCCAGGTCTCAGTTCTTTCTCCCTCCACCTGCGGAGGCCCCAGAAACGTGGGGGAAATTCATCAGAGGTTGCGGAGCCTCGTGGAGCCCGCTCGTGCAGCAGCTCTTCTATTCGGAATCGGTCGCCGACGGTCCGTATTCCGCAGGTCATTGTCATGTGCACAGTGGCCAAGCTGCAGGAGGAGCCAATATGGAGTGTGGTGACAGAGCGCTCCCCCTACTCCCCCTCCTCCTCCCCCTCCTCCCCGCGCATTTGCTTGCCCCGACTGTGCCAATGATGGTGTCGTCGACCCGCCAGCTTTTCACTCGCAGAAGGCTCTGCTGTCTCACAGACGAGCGAAGCATGGTTTCAGATGCGATGCTCGATTTTATATCGACTCGTCCGGCATGTGCCCGGTCTGCAAGACCGTATTCAGTTCAAGACTCCGGGCGATTGCACACCTATCGGATCCGAGGCGCACGAACTGCACTTCGAAGCTTTTCGAATGTCCGAAATTATCCCGCGACGTCGTGGAGGAATTGGACGCCTTCGATGCTGTAGCGAGGCTGGAGGCCCAACGAGCGGGCCGATCTCGCCCCCTCTCCGCCGCTCTTGCCATTACAGCTTCTGGCAAAGCAGTTGGCCGATTGAGACGGTGATTTATCACCGGGAACTGCACTGATGGACTTGTGACCTCTCGGAGAACCTTGGGAAAGAAAGCTAACGAGGCCTGCAGTGAGAAATCCGGGGAACCATCGGGGTGTGTGACACGCTTTTCCGTTAGAGTCGTCGTCGTCGTCGTCGGTGGTCCCAAGGAAATGGAGGAACAAGGAGGTGACACGTCGTGATTGAACCGATTCCCTCCCCTGCATCCGTTCCCTAGCGGGGGGGAGGCCCGGAGGTGACTACCTACCAGACCACCCCAACCCAACCCGAAGACCCGAATTTGACCCGAATTTCGGGTTGGGGGGGGTACGGATACCATGTGTTTTTTCAACGTTCCCCGACCCCCCCCCCACTGGAAATCGAGGATAAATTTGGGCCTTCGGGTTGGGTTGGGGTGGTTTGGTGGGTGGTGAAGGTCGGGGCGGGTGCTGCGGGGGTGCCGGGGGGGGGGCTGGGTGCCCGAGTCAGAATACCGCCCCCCCAAAGGTCCCGGCGGGTCCCGAGGGGGGGTCGCCGGCGAGGGTCCCAGAAGCGGTCCCGCCTCTGTAGGGTCGGCCGCTCTGGCCGTGAAGTGCTCGCCACTGGAATCCCCACCGGCCTCCGAGGTCGAGTCGAATCGGCATCGAAAACTGCCGACATCGAACCGACGCGAGTCCGAGGTGTCGAACAGAGCCCTGCCTCCCCGTCCGGCTTGCTCCGTGTCCCTCACTGTTTCTGTGTCCCCGAGCTACAAGTGGTGATCATCCCCAGGACGATAAGTATCGTCCCCACACACTGCAGGTACCCCTTCCCCAGACTACGGGTACCCTCCCCGGACTACAGGTCCCCCCCCCCCCTGGACTACGGGCACCCCCCCTCTGGACTACAGGTTCACCCCCCCTGGACTACATCCACGCGCGCGCGGGATCCATCGGGCGTGGAACCACGCTTGCGTTGACGCGTGAACACGCGTCCCTCCCAGGTACCGCCCCCCCGGACAACAGGTACTGTACCCTTGTTCCAGAACTACAGGTGCCCAATCCCCGACGACGGGTACCACCCCAGAATACAGGTATCCCTCCCCGCACTACAGGTACCCTCCCCGGGCTACAGGTTCCCCCCAGAATTATTGAGGGACGCAGAATATCCTGATCATCCGAGTCGTCCCCCCCTCCATCGAGACCCTCAAGTCGTGCTCCTCCCCTCTCCTCCTCGGCATCGCTGCCGTGATCGTCTTCGTCGTCGCCCCCGTCCTCGGGACCGGGCTCCTCGGCATTGTCGACGTGATCGTCCTCATCGTCGTGCTCCCCCGTCGGGACCGGCATTCTCGGCATTGTCGCGCTCCTCCTCCTCCTCGTCGCGCTCCTCGTTCTCGTCGTCGCGTTCCTCCTCGGCATTGTTGCCGTGATCGTCCTCGTCGTCGTGCTCCCCATCGGGACCGTCCTCTTCCTTTAGAAGAAGAGAAGCGCCATAAACCTACACTTCTGGCGCTCCGCGCGGACTTCTTGGATCTGCGCAGGACTCCCCCCCTCCCCGGCGCGGGGAGCGCGCCAGCAGAGGCCGCGCCGGAGGCGCCCTATCGGGAGACCTGGCGCAGATGCAAGACATCCGCGCGGAGCGCCGAAAGCTTGTGGTCATGGCAATTCTGAAAGGGCCCTGGGACACACAAGCAAATAGACACAAATGAAAGGATCCCCCATCTTTTCCCATCGTTTCTGGGCTTTTGTCCTCCCCCCCACCACTTCCCATATGTTCCCATATTTGCTGGGGCATCGACGATGAATGGTGTGTCTGTGTGTCTGTGTGTGTTTCCCCCTCCTGCAACTCTCCTTCCTGCAGAAGACGCGCCCCGACCCTGACCCCGCCGCTGCCCCTCGGCCTCCAGCGCTGGCCCCCCCCCCGCGCCGCGGGGGCCGCGCGCCTCCCTCCTCCGCCGGGGGAGCACCCGCGCGGCGCGCAGCTCGTACGCCACCCAGCCAGAGTCGCCGAACCAGTGCCGCCCCTCGGCCTCCTCCTCGGGCGTCGTCGCCGTCGTCGTCGTCGTCGTCGTCGTCGTCCTCGTCCTCGTCCTCCTCCTCCTCCTCGAAACTGGTCGGCCCCCCTCTCTCCCCCCAGTTCCTTCTCGCTTTCCCCCTCCTGGGCGAAGACAAGGCAACAAAGGCTAAGACAGCTCGCGCCAACCGAGAGAGTGGGGAGGACGGGAGGCCTGGGCGGAGTGGGCTGCCTGGCCTAAGTTGCGGTCGGCAGCCCGGGCCACGCAGCGGCGGGAAGGGGTCCTCCAAGCTCCCGCCCCCGCCAGTGGCCCCCGCCCCCCTCCTCCTCCAGGGTGGGAGCCTGCTCTAAGGTAGTTGTGCAAGTGCTGAGCGTGGTGGTCCCGTTCAGTTTGTACCCTGACTGGAGGGAGGCTGGCCCTGACCATCGAAGATACCCAACAGCACGGTGTAAGGCTGGATGTGAGGACCCAAGACTTCGCCGCGTAGGACAGCCAGAGCGAGACAGCCTTGCTCTCTGGACTGCTTGGAAACACTGTTGGCATTGAAGCAGCAAGCGCCGTTACGACTAATTGCCGTAATTAAATGCTCCACCAATGTGCGCAACAGCTGCGGAGGGGAAGTGGGGGATCCTCTGTTCCCCCTTCCGATCAAACACGCCCACCCCCCACACGCAGCACGCACAACTGCGACTCACACTGCTCACGGCTGCTGCCTCACTCACCTCTCTGCCGTATCCTGCGCCGATGCTGATATGTCACTGGGTGATCGGGACCCCGAAGCCTCCCCGCCCACGGCGCTCGAGCATTCTGTCCTGCCCCGTACTGGATCAGCTTTGAGTTTGAAGCCAAGCATGTTCTGGAAGTCCATGAGCTCCTTCGGCTTGTCGGCAGTAGTGCATGTGATCACCCCCATCGCTTGGCTACCCTGGCAGAGAGTGCGCTAACCCGTCCACGTAAGAATTGGGATCAGCGGGCATATCGTAGCTGATGATACTGCACTTGGGCTGCGAAGGGGACTCTTTCACGCTGTTGCGCACCACCTTGAATCCCTTCTGGATATCGTTGTTATCCTCCTCCTCCATCTCTGAAGGAACGCTCGAACAGGAGTCCGAGGAAGAGTCCGTGACTCCTCCTCGCGCAAGACTTCTGAATTGAAACTGCAATGCTCTAGCAGCCCTTTGCATAGCTATGACCCTTTGCTTGGACCGCGCGCGGATGACAAACGTCTCGGCCTCCGAAATGTTGAGAATGTCGGCCAGCTGCTTGTTCTTACTGGCGTGGTTGTTGACGTCGGCTGTGCTGGTCAAGGTGAGGACGTCCGCTCCCAGCTCCAAGGGGAGGCTCTTGTAGCCGTCCAGTCTTTCAGAGATCGAGCATCGGCGGCATGTCCTGCTCCGATTCGCTGCTCCCTGTCCCGTCGTCCTGCTGCTCCCCGCTGTCCGAAGAGATGTCCAACGACGGGATAGCACGCCCCCGTCCTGGCGCATCGGTTCCACCGCGGTCTGGCGGGCCACGTGGGCCCCCTTCACGGGGAGTCCATGACGAGCTCGAGGATCTGGTCAGACGCTGGGCGCGTGATGTGCCGCATGACGTTGTAGGCAACGTCCAGCTTGGTGACCTTCTTCATGATGGTACTGTCCAGGCTGCCCTCCCTCTCTACGATGCCAGCGAGCAGCGTGCTGTAGCCCGAGCAAGTGTTTGCCTGCCTCCTCCGAGAGCTTGCGTAGGAGCTCGTTATGGATTGGGCAACCCAAGAGAAACTGCTCCAGTGGCCAGGGCAGGGGAGAACGATCTTCAGCAAGCAGGGGACATGGGGCCTCGACAAGGCCATGGCGCTTGAGCCAAAAATGGCCACGGATGTTTTCCCCTCCTTTCCCCCTCTCCTCTTCTCCCTCCCCTCCTCCTTGTCCTCCTCCTCCTCCTCCTCCTCCTCCTACCCCTCCTCGATTCATCGGTGGCTCGAAGATGGGGTTCTGAGGGATGGGGCCCAGAGGGCGAGGTGCCTCACACAATATAAATCTCAACCCTTGGACACTTTGCCATCCTCATGACCCCATGCCTCTTGCCTTGGGTTGGGCGAGTCCTCCTACAG